TCACACTGGAGGAAATTAAAGAAAAAGGAGGAAAGGAATATCTTTATTGCTAAAATAAAGAAATTAAAAAAGAACAGAATCAAAATTTGAACGTGTATTTGATATGTGATGGTGTTTTGTAATGTACAGACAAAGAATTGTAATATCGAGTTTGTTACAGAAACGTATATAAAATGATTTTCATTTTGGACATCCTGGCATTTCAAAAATGAAATCTCTCATAAAAAATTTTGTATATTGGACTGGAATGGATCAAAAAACAGTAAAAGTGTGTAGAGGTTGTGTTCTAGCAGCGAAACTACTTATCACAAATATAGAACCCCTAACCAAAGACAGACACTCCATGGTCAAGATTGCATATAGATTTTGCAGGTCTTATAGCTGGAGTATATTATCTAATAGTAGTTGAAATGGCTGGAAATTTACAAATGAAAAATCCTACATCCTCAGTGACAGTGAATTTCTTACTTGAACTGTTTGTGAAATATAGTATACCACATATAATAGTATCGGATAATGGAATACAATTCACTGGAAAAAATTTAAAGACTTTTGCAAGTTGTTCTCTATAGAATATAATACAACCCCACTGTATCACCCAAGGTCTAATGGACAAGGAGAATAGTTTGTGAAAATGTTCAAAAGAAAAAAAGCAAGTCTGGACAAATTAAAGGAGGAAGCATTTCAAAATTTTTTGAGAGTGTAACAGTTAACGCCTAAGCCCAACACACCATCAGGCATGTCACTGGTGAAATTAATATTTGCCAGAAGGGTAAAGTCTGTGTTTGACAAGTTATTGCCAAGTCAAAAAGCATAAACAGTTAACAAAAGCAACACCTATACTTTCAAGGTCAGCAATAAAGTTTCCTTTAGAGCATACAGGGATGGAAAGGAAACATGGATAGATACCATAATAGCAGCTGGAATCGGAAAATTGGTCTACATGATGAAAGGGAAAAAACTCCAACATTGAAGGCACCAAAATCAACTGCAGAAAAGATTATCTTATGAAAGACCTGAAGAACTGGTTAAAATGCTCTTGGTTATTTTTGATGTGCCAGTACCAAAACGAATCATGGAACCAACAAAGACAAGTTTAAGAAAAAGAAAATGTACAGAAGAACTAAAAGTGGATCCTAGATGGAAATGCTACAAAGTAAAGTATGTTGGCAAACTCTCCAGAAAGAGAAGGAGATACTAATACAAAATAAATAGAAAAGAAAAACTATATTTATTTAATAAAGTAGTAATCTCAAAAAGGGGGATGTTGTAGAGTAAAGAGTGCACCCCCAGTGACTCTATGAATTCATCCAATGCTATAAAGTATTCCATGGTATTGGAGTCAGTCTTCATACTAACTATAAAGGCATTATGGCAATAGTCTAAGCATTACATATAGAGAATACTTTAACGAATTACATTATAGCAAGTACGAGTGTGTGTTATAACAATAAGCTTACAATAGGAAGTTATAATAGTTTGTAAAAGTATTTTCGATACACCCTGTAATATATATATATATATATATATATATAAATTTCAGATAGAGTATAAGTGTAAAAGGACAATATGGAAAAAAGACGAAAGGAAATTTTTATTCATTAGACATTGAATTGTAGCACTTCATGCCCTCCATAGTTTGCATTAACTTTTCAGCCAACCTGATTAATATTTATGAGTGTTCTTAAACTTAAAAATTTGGTAAAACCAAAACATTTTGGCTCTTGTATATAAATGCTTCTTACAAAATAAAATCCTTGCATTTGTATTGATAAAATCTCTCAGAGGATGAAATATATTGACAAGGATAAGTTTTCTTTGTGTCTTTATTCATATATACATATTTGTGTGTGTATATTCAGGAATCATGACTCTTTCATATCAAACAGGAAATCAAAGGATTCTAGGCCAAACAAAAATGTAACATGTGGGGGTGTTTTCAGGGCGGGTGGTGACCATCAAATGTAGATCTAAGGGTTAAAATCTCTGAATATCTTTGGAAATTTATCCAAGTAAATTGAGAATGTATACTTTAGGACAGAGAGCTTAGAAAAAAGCGGGGAAGGAGAGCTAGAAGGGGGGAAATGTGTTTGAGAAGCAGAGACCTTGGAAGTGGGAACATGAGTTTTTTTGGGGGGGTCAGTGACGGGAATGGGTGAGAATCAACATTCATATATGGTGATGCATAAGAAATCTAAACTGCACTTAGTATTGTTCCAACTAGTATAAAGTTTTACAGTTCCAAGTTGAGGTTGTTTTTTTGGTGCCGTGTTGATGACACTTGTTACTATAAGTTTACTGAATGGACCAAATACAATGAAATAAGTTTTATGTGATCAGTCAATTACTTAAACAAATCATGGAAGGAAAGATTCTGTATTTTACAAATTGAATCCTCATTCTGTATAACTAGAAAAACAAAAAGCGATTTTCTAACATATTTATGTTATAATTTGTAAAGGAACAAAATGAATGAAAAACTATTCTTGGCTAAAAGTACTTTTTCCTCGTCTTTTTATTGATATATATGTATGTGAAATGGGAAAATAACTGTCTTTCCCATCGTCATATCAACCAACAACACTCTGCAGCTTGGAAAACTATAAATGAACTAGTGGGAAAGGGATCAAAACCTCCACCAACAATTAAAGGTGGCAGCTGTGAGCAACGGCTTGGTAACTGGCTTTCTCATTTCAAAAACCTCCTTGGTAATCCCGCAAGTCTTTCAGACCACATGTCCCTCCCAAAAGTCCAAATTAGTAGTGCTTTGAACATATCAACAGGAGAGTTCACCATTGCAGAGTTGAAATGTGTTCTAATGAAGACAATAAACAAAGCTCTTGGTCCTGACAAGATTCCGGTCATCTTGTGGAAGGACCCTATTTTTCACCAATTACTTCTTGATCTGTGTAATTATGCAAAGGCCAGCCAAGTTTCACCAACCATCTGGCTACGATCGCAAATCATCCCCATCCCCAAAAAGGGTGATTTGACATTACCAACCAATTATCGCGGTATTTCGTTGCTTCCTATAGCTGCGAAAATCTATAACAAGCTTCTTCTGAATCAAATTCGCGCTGAAGTTGAACCCATTCTACGCAAAAACCAAAATGGTTTCCACCCAGGTCGTTCCACCCTTGGACACATCCTCACATTGCGTAGAATAATTGAGGAAATCACATTCTGCAATAAAACTGCAGCTCTTATTTTTGTAGACTTCAGCAAAGCTTTCGACTCAGTGAACCGCGAGACTATGTTTGAAACTCTTGAACTCTATGGCATACCAGTAGAAATCATTGAAGCAATCAAAGTATTGTATACCAACACACAGGCCACTGTCCTGACCCCAGATGCTGAAACGGAACCTTTCGATATTCTGGCTGGCATTCTCCAAGATGACACACTAGCACCTTTCCTTTTCCTCATTGTAATAGACTACATCATGCGTATATCAGTGGACACAATCAAAGAAAATGGACTGATGTATCAGCCTAGAAGAAGCTCACGTCATCCTGCACTCTACATCACCGATGCTGATTTTGCTGATGACATTGCACTGTTGTCTGACAACCTCATTAGTGCCCAAGCACTCCTTTCTTCTCTTGAATCAGCAGCTAACTGTTCAGGTCTTCACCTAAATGAAACCAAAACTGAGTGTATGCCAATTAACATTCGCAACAATCATGAGATCAAAACACTCTCAAACAACATCCTCAAATGTGTCAAAGACTACAAGTATCCAGGATCACACATCAAGAACTCTGAGAAAGATTTCAACATTAGAAAAGGAATAGCATGGACTGCTTGTAACAAAATGGATAAGATCTGGAAATCCAATCTTGCTCGTCAATTCAAAATCCAACTTTTCCGCTGCGTTATTGAGCCAATCTTACTCTATGGCTCTGAAACTTGACTCTCTCAGCAAAACAACAGCGTCGTTTAGATGGATGTTATACACGTCTTTTAAGAAGAGTGCTTAATCTTTCATGGCAAAACCGCCCAACTCTAGAAATGATATATGGAGACTTGCCGAGAGTATCAACCTTAGTTTGCAAAAGACGTGTCCAGTTCGCCGGGCATTGTGCACGTGCCACAAATGAACTTGTGTCATCATTTGTACTCTGGAGGCACCATCATCTGACAATCGATCATGCAAGTTAACCTTTTCCAGATAGGATAAAACGAGACACATTGATCCCCAAGGAAGATCTTTTAGGAGCTATGACGGATAGGGAATACTGGAGAGGTGTAGTGAGTTCAATCTCAGCCGAGGCCGCAAGATGATGATGTGTGTGTGTGTGTGTATTATATTCTGCACTAATAGGAATATATACTTGAAAAACATGGTGGATAAAGTAAGTAAAGTTTTATTGTAAAAACCAGTACACTAAAAATAAAGGTAACAGTTATGCACAAGTCAATCCAGTAGTGGGTGCTACTATTGGAAGGTCGGTAGTTCTCACGTAAGTCTGAGTCATACTCAACAGATCCCAGCTAGAATATTTAGCTACCACCCCCACGAGTGATTCATGTGGCACAAGGCCAGGTTTAACATGGGATCTCCGAGCCCATAGGCTCGGCCAAAAATATTCCCTATTCAAATGCGTATAAAAGGGTTCAGAGTCGGTCTACCTCCCCAAATGAGACTCTGCCCTTCGGCAGAGCCTCATCTGGGATCCTCTCTGCTCAGAGGCAGAGAGTTTGACTGTCTCCGTAGTCTGTTGCCTTATAGATACTTATAAGTAGTTACTACCTATAGTTTAGTCACTAAGGGGGGTGACAGGTTATTCCATTACATCAGTGTGTATGTGTGTGAAGATAATGTCTGCTTGACAATTATATTATCAATTAATTTCATACTAAAATCAATTGAAAACAATATTCAATAAAAATCAATACAATTGTCAATTATTGTTAGAGGTAAAAAAAAAAAAAGCTTTAATTTTTTTATAATCAAATTGAAGTCTACCCTTTTCTCTTATACTCTTTTTCATTTCCAGGTCTGGCCGATCAGTTGCGTCTTTGGGACTCTGGCAGGGTATGGTGTTGGATTAATAACCAGTTCAGGGTTGCTACTTTATAAAATCCAAATTGCCAACAAACAAAAGAACAAATTCATGTAGATCAGCAAAAAAAATAAGTAAAAACCAATCACCAATCCCATTCTTGACATTCTTCACTTTTGTACATTATTTACATTGTTTGGACTGTTGTCCTCATCTTTCTTGCCACATTCATCACGTTTCAGCTATTGTACACTCCAGTCTTCTTCAGGTGATTGGAGGACACATGGCCTAGTGGATAAGAGTGTTGGTTGAAGTAATCCAGTGATTAGACCCAAAGATTTGTGAGTTCAATACCTGGCTACAACAGTGGTGAACAATAACTTGAAGAGTTGAGTTAAAGGGAAATAACTGATACTGAGATATCTGGAAGAGGCATGGCATGTGGAACTAGACAGTCTACCCCGGTGGACGAAATAAAGAGTTCAGGTTGAAATTCCAGTCAGCTGAAGAAGGCTGGAGCATGCAGCAGCTGGAGTATTGTGAATGTAGCAACAAAAATGAGGACAACAGTCTGAAAATATAAATAGTGTAAATAATTGCAATACTTCATCTCAGAAATATAGACAGATATTCTTTGTTTCATATGAAAACTAAATCCATTGATTTCATAAATTCATCTAAAAACAGCAGAAAGTTCTTCTCTCTTCTTTTTTATCGTTCGCTATTTGATGAAAAGATGTCAATATCCAAAAATGTTTTGATGATCTATTAATTTTTTTTTTTTCAATAGTTTCTTTGTCTTTGTTCATTTTATCACCCTTTTGGTAACATTTTTGGAATGATAATCACAGATTTTTTCATCCAAGGTGGCTACACTGCTTTCATTGTCCCATAAGGTTGCCAAATATAATAGTTGCACAAGGAAAACTGGATTAGACCATATGCATCCATACACATACACATTAAACTACATCCACATGCAAAAGTTTCTCATTTCAAATCAAGAAGAGTGCCATCTCAATTATTAACCTGTATCCTGGGTAAGACATTAAACTATGTCCAACAGCAAGTCCTCTGATCAGGAGGTTTTGAGGAGCTTGGAACCACCTCTTAATTGCTGGTGTTCCCAGGTCCACCCCGACCTGGGGTGGTAGCACCTGTTAGGGGTCCCAGCTATGGGCAAATAGTTAACTATTACCAGCAATACTTTTTTGAAAAAAAATATTACCAGCAATACAATTTTGAAGGAAATATATTACCAGAAACAGATTTTTGACAAAACAAAATATTACCAGCAATAAAAATTTTTATCAGCATTAAATAACTCATTGAGGTTGACATGCCGTAAAACAAAATAAACCAAACCAATCTAAACCAAAGAATACATATTCTATTCATATGAATCTATCCTAAAAATGTTATCAGCATTGAATAACCCATTGAGGTTGATATGCCGTAAAACAAAATAAACCAAACCAATCTAAACCAAAGAATACATATTCTATTCATACGAATCTATCCTAAAAATGTTGTCGGCATTGAATAACCCATTGAGGTTGATATGCCGTAAAACAAAATAAACCAAACCAATCTAAACCAAAGAATACATATTCTATTCATACGAATCTATCCTAAAAATGTTGTCGGCATTGAATAACCCATTGAGGTTGATATGCCAGAAAAACAAAATAAACCAAACCAATCTAAACCAAAGAATACATATTCTATTCATACGAATCTATCCTAAAAATGTTGTCGGCATTGAATAACCCATTGAGGTTGATATGCCGTAAAACAAAATAAACCAAACCAATCTAAACCAAAGAATACATATTCTATTCATACGAATCTATCCTAAAAATGTTGTCGGCATTAAATAACCCATTGAGGTTGATATGACGTTAAACAAACCAAACTAAACCAAACTAAACCAAACCAATTATTAACTCTCTTCCCTGCCAATTAGTTTAGGAAAAACATTTCATTTTCAGACAAATTTTTTTTTTATTTGTTTTCAATATAATAACTAAGAAACTGAGGTACGTTATGTTTTGGGAAAAAAAAGACACTTTCCATAAAAATGTATATACATGTCTACACTAGGGAAGGAGTTTTTCTATGGCTTAGCAACCCTTTGTAGGTTATTTAAAGCCAGAAAACATTTTTAGATTGTAAGAATTTATTTTTTGGGAGATAACAATTATTTAATGAAACAAGTCTTACTAATTAACCCATAGCTGGGGAGAGAAGAGGTGGATTAATACTTTTTCCAAATGTATTTGTGTGTAAGTGAATATAAAGAACCCAACTGGAATTGGAACTCAGCTCTCCAATTAACAATTCTGAGCCATTATCCATTACACCACCCACACATCCAAACTTACTGCACCTATTAATCCCAAACAGTCACCCTTCTAGGTACTGACCAGGTTCGACATTGCTTAACTTTGATGATTGTATGTGAACCGGTATTTCAATGTGATGTAGCCATAAGTAGATAATTATAGTGCAGCTTCTTTGAAGAAATTTCCAAAAGAATTGATATCATACCAGTACCTGCACTACCATCCCCAAAATTTGATTATATATTTCATGGCTAGGAGGGTTATCAAGGGATTAAAAAGAAAAAAAAAACAAAGAATCCCATATCTAGGAAATAGAGGATTGAGATTAGCTTGAGACTTTCAATTTAATCAAAAGTGATTTGGGGTTGAAACTTTGTACTTTCTAATCAAATATTAGCTGTTCCTAAAGATTATCAACTCCACCCAACTATTTACAGGATGAGTGATACAAAATCTATAAGATTATGGTTGGTGGATAGTAGAGATTTATTTGACCCCTCACTGAGTCAGGTTGTGACACAAGGTCATTTTTTAATGGGGGGATCCGGGTGTTTTCACTTGGGCCACTGGTCCACGCTAGTCATAGCTGTGATACTACCAACGCAGGAATAGATCCCTCCTCCCAGGTAAGTATCTGTTATGGTGACCTATCTACATTAGAATGAACTCTTCCTCCTTCATAAATACTAACCTGCAAGACTTCCTAAGGGAGGCAGTCAGGACACAGTGTAACCTGATAGTTCAGACGGACACTTCTATCTGCTGACTAATAACACTCTTATTTTGTATATATGTTCTGTTATTTCAATACACTTGTTCAATCTACCTTCTTCTTTCCGTGTCTTTCTTTCTGGCCCTTAACAGGCCAGAGCAGTATCCCTGTGCCAGGTAAGGATAGTTATTTTCTAAGTGTAACTTAGATGTAGCACAAGGCCGAAAGTATGGGGCACCTAGTTAGGATTGAACTGACTTTTCAGTTGTAACTGATGTAACGAGACAAACTTGTTAACCATTACACCATGCTGAGGTGCCCTGGTTGGTGGATAGTAAGTGGGTGCTAATTGCAATATGAGAAAAAACAAGAATGCTTTTTTTATATATATATATATAACTTAGTAAGGGCTGGGCTGGTCATGTCATAAGGATAGTGGATGGTTGCCTCCCAAAACACAGTAGTTCTATGGTGAATTGACAAGCTGCAAATGTCCTCCACACAAGCCAAGAAAGTGCTTCAAAGATGTCATTAAAAACAACCTTAAAAATCTTGAGAGAAGGAGACAGGTGACAGGCCTCAAATTTTCTTGGAATTATCCATTCTTCAATGGGGTCTGTTGTTTTAATTTCCAATTTTTTTGCTTCTTTTTTAATATGTTGTGTAGACGCACAAGTTCATGAGTTTTACATTTTTTATACGTGTATTCATGAATTTCTGCTTTAGTTTACACGTTTGTAAATGTCATAATTTTTTCAATTATAAATTGAATATATAACCCTATATAATATTACCAATAGGAATTGTAGACTGTATTTAGAAGAAAACTTATCAATCTGAACTTTTAAGAACCAAATTAAATTATTAAATAAGAATAAGATAATAGGTCAATAGCGACATTTTAACAAATATTTACTTTGTTATTTTAATAATAATATAACATAATACAACAAATACAACATAAAATATTATAATTTATTTAATAATATAACCTAAATTAATATTATAATTTAATTAATAACACAAAATAATAAATATTATAATTTAATTGATAATATAAATTAAATTAATAAATATTATAATTTAATTAATAATATAACCTAAATTAATATTATAATTTAATTAATAATGTAACCTAAAATTAATTAAAAAATTATAATTTAATTAATAATATAACGTAAATTAATAAATATTATAATTTAATTAATAATATAACGTAAATTAATAAATATTATAATTTAATTAATAATATAACATAAATTAATAAATATTTGTAGAAAAATAAGTGAAATTACCTCTGTGTGTTGCACTCAGATGTGGAAAGCAGAATGTTTGCCATGCTGGTTTTCCATAGCGAGGCTGCTTTGAGCTCTGGTTTTCATAATCATTTTACCAGAAGGGGTGGGATGCACAGGTCTGCCACCTTGTTACTTAAGGCCTGCCTTTCTTCCCTTCTCGACTTTTCTGTGAGAGGAACTTATGAGAACAGAGTCATTCCGCAAGCAAATTAGAACACTCTTCCTCATCTGAGAGCAAGTGGGAGAAGATAGAAATGAATTGGCTGGCTCACCCATTGGCGATTCATAGGGAACTGGAGAAGCTTGACACAACCCTGTCGCCATTTAACTCTGGGGGTTTCTAGGCTCAGACTTCCTCTACAGGTTCTCCTGATTTTCCATCTGGCAGAAATGTGTCCTCATTTACTGCCAAACCTTTGCAAGTGTAGTGATCTAGATATGGACAGAGACTCCATGAGCTTCCAAAACCTCTTGTCTCACTTCAAGAACTGTGTGGCAGGCATGGTTAATGCTGCAGAGAAGCTGAATTTCTTAAAGTGTTCCTTCTTTGACAGACTCTTGCTGTTGATCAACCATTTAAGTGTGGTCAACAGGAATTACCAAATTTCTCTCAAAATTCCTAAAACTGAATTCTTGAACATGGATGAATATTATAATTTAATTAATAATATAACATAAATTAATAAATATTTGTAGAAAAATAAGTGAAATTACCTCTGTGTGTTGCGCTCAGATGTGGGAGGCAGAATGTTTGCCATGCTG